ATACCTGGCAGTGTTTTAGGGTTCCTCTCACATTTCCCCCCATACCTGGCAGTGTTTCAGTGCCCCTCGAGCAGGTGGGTGCTGCAGCAGCCCCCCACGTGTGGGCACCTCGTGGGAGCTGCAGGCTGGGGGTGTCGGGTACAGGTGCCCTTGGCCCTTCTGCTGCCCAGGTGGGCTCTGGTACCCCAGGGACGGGCTGTGGAGAGCAGGTGACACCATCAGGAGATAAGAACGGAGATCTGGAATCCCAACCATCCCTTCCCCACCCTGCTCCTAAAGCTCCTAAATATAGATATAATTATATATTTACCTATATGTTATATATTTATAAAATATCTATTATATATATAATAGATATGTATTATACGTGTAATATATATTTTATATATATAATATCTAGAATATCTATACATAAAAATATATAATTATATATTTATCTTTATATTTAATATATAATATATAATATATAATATATATATAATATATATTATGTGTAATATATACTTTGTATAAATATAATACCTAGAATATCTATACATAAACATAGATATAACTATATATTTATCTATATTTATATTATATAAATAAATAATATATAATATAGAATACATATAAATATAATACAATATATATATATATATATATATATATATATAAAAATATATATAATATATATAAACAGAATAACAGAGGATGCCTCCCTATTATTCTATTTACCTTTGTTTTTCTACAGCTTAAATACTTTTCCTGCTGACCAATCTCATGGCTGCTGCTTTAGCTCTACTCCCAGTTCTGCTGTACCTGATGCCTACATCCTGCAGCTTTCCCAAAACCCTCCGATTTTGTGGATTCCCAGCCCACGGGGTGCCAGGGGTGCCAGGGCAGTGCCCACCTGATGGTGCTGATGGACAGGTGACCGTAGGAGCCGCCGGAGGAGGCGCAGCGGGAGTTGATGAAAGCCACCAGGGAGTTGGGCGAGGTGCGGATCACGGTCTGCAGGTCGATGCTGGAGTCGGACAGGGGGGAGATGGACAGGGCTCGCTTCTTGCCCANATTGCACGGATCCCCAGTTACATGGAACCCAAATCACACTGATCCCTCCCACAGGGATCCCCTTTCACATGGAACCCCAATAACAAGGATCCCAAATTAAACGGAACCCTACTCACAGGGATCCCCTCTCTCACATTTCCCCCACACCTGGAAGTGTTTCTGTGCCCCATTTCACAGATCCCCCATACCTGGCAGTGTTTTAGGGTTTATCTCACATTTTCCCCCATACCTGGCAGTGTTTTAGGGTTCCTCTCACAGATCCCCCATACCTGGCAGTGTTTTAGGGTTTCTCTCACATTTCCCCCCATACCTGGCAGTGTTTAGGGTTTCTCTCACAGATCCCCCATACCTGGCAGTGTTTTAGGGTTTCTCCCACAAATCCCCCATACCTGGCAGTGTTTTAGGGTTTCTCTCACATTTCCCCCATACCTGGCAGTGTTTTAGGGTTTATCTCACATTTCCCCCCATACTTGGCTATGTTTAGGGTTCCTCTCACAGATCTCCCATACCTGGCAGCGTTTTAGGGTTTTTCTCACATTTTCCCCCATACCTGGCAGCGTTTTAGGGTTTCTCCCACAAATCCCCCATACCTGGCAGTGTTTAGGGTTTCTCTCACATTTCCCTGCATACCTGGCAGTGTTTTAGGGTTCCTCTCACATTTCCCCCCATACCTGACAGTGTTTTAGGGTTTTTCTCACATTTCCCCCCATACCTGGCAGTGTTTAGGGTTTTTCTCACATTTCCCCCCATACCTGGCAGTGTTTTAGGGTTTCTCTCACAGATCCCCCATACCTGGCAGTGTTTTAGGGTTTCTCTCACCTTTTCCCCCATACCTGGCAATGTTTTAGGGTTTCTCTCACAGATCCCCCATACCTGGCAGTGTTTTAGGGTTTCTCTCACATTTTCCCCCATACCTGGCAGTGTTTTAGGGTTTATCTCACAAATCCCCCATACCTGGCAGTGTTTTAGGGTTTCTCTCACATTTCCCCCATACCTGGCAGTGTTTTAGGGTTTCTCTCACAGATCCCCCATACCTGGCAGTGTTTTAGGGTTTCTCTCACATTTCCCCCATACCTGGCAGTGTTTAGGGTTTCTCTCACATTTCCCCCATACCTGGCAGTGTTTTAGGGTTCCTCTCACAGATCCCCCATACCTGGCAGTGTTTTAGGGTTTTTCTCACATTTTCCCCAATACCTGGCAGTGTTTTAGGGTTTCTCTCACATTTCCCCCATACCTGGCAGTGTTTTAGGGTTTTTCTCACATTTTCCCCATACCTGGCAGTGTTTTAG